CACACACACACACATTCACACACTCGGGTGAGCATAAACAAGCATTTAGCTTTGTGTTCACTACAGCCCCCCGCCACCCCCCAACTTTTTTTTAGATCGATTTGATTGTAAAACAAGGAATTGAAATGTTTTAAAGGAATGGAACTATAAATCTTAGGAATCAATTCCCCTGCCCTTTTACTCTACACCATTGCACACGTTAAGAGGTTGCCGATATTCATGATGACCAGGGAAGTGGTGAAATGATGGGACGGAATGCCATCGACAGCAATGGAGGACCAGGGGTTGGAAAGACTATCTGCCTGCCATCACTGAGCAACTCTACATCCCGACCCACAGCATGAGGCAATTCTGGCACTGCCATTCCTCAACTTTACTACTGACGCAAAGAATTCATCTTTCCCTGACCACAAAACAGACTTTGAACCTATCATTGTTGTATGTCCTCAAACCCCCAACGTAAAGCTTTCCAAAATAATCTATTTTTTGTCTTTGTTACCATCAAGTTTGATAGTAATTTGTATTATATGATGAAAATTAACAAGTTTGCACAAGTACACCCCTTGAGCTAGATTTCCAGGACATACTTATTTTAAGGCTTTTTTTTCTATTGTTACAGAATGCTTGATTTAAAAAGTTGCCTTAAATTTACTTCACAACAAAAATCTGTAATTTGGAAGATAAAAAAATCTGTGACCCTGAAGGGGGGCTGCTAAAAAATCAAGCAAGGTAAAAAAGAAAAACCCATCTGTAAGATGTATGTTAAAAAAACTCTGCTTGGTCTTTTGAGAATAAAAAGTAAGCATGCTAAATCCCATTTCGACAGTTATCAATCACTTCAAGCCAACATCAATGCAAGCCTCAACAAATTTGTGAAAGAGCAACTTTATCATCTTATCCTCTAGTTCAGTTTAGAAGGCGAACCAAGTGTTTCCGCAACAAGCCAAAACACCTACTGTGACCTTTGGTTCACCGTTGTCTTATTGGATCTTGATGATTTCTTTTTACTCTATGGAATCCGTCTATTTACCCTCAAGACATAAAGAAAATAGCAGCAAATCGCAACCTCAGGGTTTCTTGTCCTATTTCTTTTTTTTAAACAGTGAAAATGTGACTTCATCTTAAACTCATTCTTTGTTATAAACTGTTTTCACTATTAAACATGGAGATACAACAAGAAAGCACTGAAGTAGCAAAATGGTGTACTCCAGGGTGCTTTTGCTTATCCTTCCTTTCACAACTTTCAAAATAGACCCAGGCAAGCCTAATCCATCCTTATTCTCAAAATTCCAAGCCGAATTCGGACCCTGCCTACTGATCTTTTGGAGCTTACCTAAGGCTCGCTCCCGCCCTCTGCAAAATTTGGAAACAAATTCTTGCCGACGCAAATCAATTCCTGCGGCTACCTCCAGATGAGTAGATTCCAGCTCCTTTGATGTGCGCTGAGTGACCACTCATCTATTTCAAACGTTTTTCTCACTGCCAAATATGGCATGACAAACACATCCACATACAACACAAGCCATACGAACACACAACAAAAACATGAGTGCAGGTGTGCTAAACAATTTAAGCCAGTCAGTATGTAAAAACAATGCATTATGTTTTATTTATATGTAAAAAATGATGCTACTTAAATGAATAATGATTATCTATGGTATTTATTAACAATGAAATGGGAACTCATTCTTCAATACTTCTCGCATTTACAAAAAAAATGAATCCTCTCTGAGCATGATAGAAACAGCAGAAAACATTAAACCTCTCTGAGCATGATAGAAACAGCAGAAAACATTAAACCATGCTAACACAAAAGGATAAAAAGGCCCCCACTCTTGAAGAAGAATAAGTGGGGGAAGGGGTGGGGGGGAAGAGGGGCTTGATTAAAAACATTTGCAAACGTCTTATGATTATGTGACATACAAATTTTGAACTTTCCTACTTAATATATATATATGTATATATAAATCATTAAGAAAATTTACATAGGAATGTACATTGTCTTAAAAGAACAAAATCTTTAAAATGTGCTATTGAGTGCATCAGTTATGTCCAAGTGGAGGCCAGGACTCGAAGGGGGCTTTGGGTCAAGGGACGGGGCGGGAGAAAAAGAAACATAAAAAGTCCACCAAAATCTAGAAGTAGAGAAAAAAAAATCCTGCAATTTTGAAAGCTCTATCATGCTCAAAAGTATTTTTTCAACGCAACCTTATGTCCCCTCCCCAACCGAGTACAATGGACCGTTTAGAAGGGACAAAAGAAGAAAACCGTGACTTCCCTCACAAGTCTTCCTACTCTATCAAAATAAAAAGACTTGACTGGATCTTTCAAGAAAAGACCTGCAGAATTTTGAGGGAGCAATTTATTTACCAAGGAAGCCAGGTAACCCCCTCAATTAATTTGGATGAAATGATTTTTTATAAAGCATTTACTGAAAAAAATAAATTAAAAAATAAATTTTAAAAAGATAACGAAACAACGTCAAGGAAAAAAAAATGCATATGGTTGATGAAAGATGAGCAAGTAATGTAAATCTAGCACCAATTAATGAGGGGAATGAAGCATTATGCAAGAAGCATGAAGATGCATACGTAAAGATTTTAACTTGGTTGGGCATAACAATGTGATAACAAATTAGAAGTGACTGGCCTCTACTTAGCACACACTGCACTCAAGACACCAACAACCATTCTCATTAAGCACACAACTCTCATCCTTTGTCTCAAAGCAAGCTAAGTAGTAAAAATGTAAACATTTGCATCTAATCCATTCAAACACTCAACATTTTCAGACCCAAACAAACAAAATATTGCACACTTGTTCATTGTTCACATGTCGTATGAGGTATATTTAACAATGCCATACAATTGTACAGACACCAATATGTTTTTATCTCACATTTGGATGGATTTCATTGTAAACTATAAGCAATTCAGATCTTGCAAGTGTAAACTGGAGTCGCAATAGTCATGTTGCTTCTTAATGGGGACCTTCAAACCGTACATCACAACTAGCTTTCCAACAGTATACAGCCCCAAACAATCCCCCCCCCCCTCCTCCCCCCGGAAATATTTTTATAAAAAAACAAAAAAAACAACCACAAATATTTGAACCCAACAAGCAACATCTTTACAAGTAGAGTCGAGCCTGCTCTAACGACCACCTGTCCAAATTATCCATACAAACAACCACTTCCCACTTCTCCCTTTGCACTTTTCAAATATTATGACTTGTCCAATGGCTGGTCATCGTGGACAATACCAGTAGAAAACAAACTACCAATACCTTTTCCCCAACTACCAGCATCTTTACAAGTCCCCCTAGCCTGTTGGAGGTAACCTCAGCCCCAGACAGACACTATCAGCCTCAGCCCCAGACAGACACTATCAGCCTCAGCCCCAGGCAGACAATATCAGCCACTAGTCTAGCTGCCAACCCAAAGCCCCAGATATTGTATGCCTTCGTGCGACTTCAATACACACACAGCAATTACTTTTATTGAAAATCCTACTTTTTTAATGAACCATTTCTAAAATTTCGAGAGGAATTCCTTGCCAGTTATAAAATTGGGGGAAAAAATAGATATTCAACAAGGTCAGTTCAACTGACATTGACACAACGAATGGATAAATGTTTAAAATCTTGCTTCACCTCTCTGCATTTTTAGTATTAGACAAAACATGAACCCCTGCGTGACTTTATTCTTCTACGGCAGAGGGAGCAAGTTGCGGCTGCGACGTGCAGCATGTCATTGACATGCCTTGAGAAGCACGAGGACCATGATGACTGGCGCTGTTCCTCATGGCATTCCACATACTGCTTTTATCAGATGCACTTTGTAAACTAGTCTCAGATTAAACTCGCAATATTTTTTGTTTACAGAATTTTTTTCCTTTTAGTTTTGTTTAGTTTTAGTAATGTTTTTACGTCACTGGCAACTGCGTACGTTTTCCTTTTAGAGATAGGAGAATTTACAAACCAATCTAATTATAGGCAACCCTGACTGCTAAATCTAGCACTACTCTGAGTCCCTGGGGATCCAAAATGGCCCGGTGAAGCACAAACTGACCCTGCATCACGGAATGGTTAAAAAATTAGAGACACAACTGTTTGCATTAAAACTTTTTCCATTGCCCAAAGATTGCAATTCTTTAACGGCTGTACCCAATTTCTCTGATCCTGAACTTCATACAACAAACACAAGGCTAAGTAGCATATTTTACAGCTTCTAGAACCACTTACCAAAACATAAAACAACCCGGACAACGCTGACATTTCACAGTTGAGCATTTCAAAACTCGTACACGTGTAACCAATAATTCTTTAAACTGAGATTTCCATCTCAATCTTTTCTCAATGTAAACTTTGCATATATTCACGCAAAACGCAGATAAGTGAGCAGTATTTTTCAGCTAGCAGAATGAACAACAGTAGCCAATATAACGCCGGTGATTGATTCAATTCTTCCCATTTTCCCCGTCCCATTGATCAGTTTTAGGCAAGGACATAGACAACTCTCAGACCTTGGACGAGGAAGGAAAAGAGCAGGCCAGGCTAACAGACACAGTGCTTATTGCAGGCCATCAACACAGACTACAGCAAGAGAAGGATGGAGACTTGAGGCACACTCTTGGGCCTTTCTCATCAAAGGTGGTGTGCCATCAAATGAGACAAAAAGAGGTGAGAGAGGTGGCAGGCAGTAGGTCACGTCATGAAGACCCCGTCATCCAATGTCCCGTGTCCATGCACTCACAGCTGTCTGTGGCTTAGCTTAAGCTGACGTGTCGATGCGACAAGTGAATTAAAAGTGAACCATAGCTGAGAAAAGAAAGACGACTTGCCTTTACCACCCATGTTTTCAATAACACAAACTAGTGCTATCTATCACTTGAATGATAAAAACTGTGCATCTACATTTACTCTGTATTTAACACCATGTTCTTAGTACCACAGCGGTTACGGAAAAATTCACCCCCACATGATGCAAATCCCAAGTGTTTAAGTTAGCCAGGATCAACTGTACACGTAACAAAAACCCCAAACAAGATTCTGAACAGGTTTGACACACAGACACCAGACCTTCACCTTTTGTTCCTTTCTCTCGCTGCAGTAGTACAGTAGTTCTGAGCAATCTTCCACATGTACAAGTTTGCTAGATGCACTCTTCAAAAGACACAATGCTAACCTGTTTCCGAGTCGGAGGATTCAGATGAGCTGGAAGAACTGCTGTCACTACTTGAATCACTACCAGACGAGCTACTGCTGCTGGCGCTTAATCTACTGGAAACAGAAATATCACCACCACCAGGAGCACCATCTTCTGAAAAAAAATGAAAGAAAAATCCACAAAATGATACAGATTATTCAGTTATAAGTGGACCTTCAGTACTAATGATATTCATTAAAACAAAACTAAAAACTCTTATGGTATTTTCAGAGCCAGAAATTTCCTGAAATGCAGAAAGAAAAATAGAGTTGCAAGAGGGCAGTAAGCGGGCAGGGCAGCCCCGCGCCCCCCAGGAAAGAACCCCATCCTCCTTTACTCTTCTTTATGGTGACTGCAGACCTTTCTCTGCCCCTATGTATTCTGCGGGGCGCCATGTTAAATATTTCATTCATTTCAAATACAGACCAATCGTGTACATCATGTTAGGAATATCTAAAGCAGCATTCAAACAAACAGGAGATATGGTACAAGTCATGACAATATTTTTTTTGCTGAAAAGCAAAAGGCAAGCAGAACCTCATTCCCAGAAAAAATTTAAAAAATACATTTGTCTACCGTCTACCCTCCCATTCACTTATCTTTCAGTCTCTCCATATTTATCTTTTCTTTCAGATTACAGAAAGCACAGACTTCTGCTTTAAAAAATCCCTTTTGCAGAATTAACCCATAACCCCTTCATTTGAACAATTCCAGTAGAAGAAATGTACAAACCTTTCTTTGGCTTTTTGGTCTGCCCAAGTTGTTGCTGAACACCTTCCAGGCGCTTTTCTAAATCAAGCTTTTTCTCTCTTTGGGCCTCTTCTTTCGACTTCCCCGATGCTTTCTTTGCTGCAAGACAACAAAACAAATTTCTATAGACAGTAGCTTCTCACTCAATTCGGTTTGGAATGACAAATTGCAGAACAAATTCTACATAGGACCATGGCCTATTACAACAATATCTCCTTGGGGAAGAACTTTCAAACCACTTTCTTTCTTTTCTCCTGCATGACCTGACAATGTCTGCACTCGTACTAACAAAAGAGCATGGGATTTTCTTTTGCAACATTTGAAAGTGTTTTCATCAATACTGTTACAATACACTAAAGACCAACACCTTTACAGAGAGAAACAGAATACATCCAAAATTCAAAAGCATCTGAGATTCATATTACAGTCAAACCTGTGTAAGACGGCCACCCATTGTCAAGGAGAAAAGTGGCCGTATAAGACAGGTGGCTGTCTTAGGCAGGACTGATCAAGATGAAGAAAACAAACCATTCCCTTCTGAAGTCCCAATCGATTGTTGTTGTTTTTATTGTTGATTTTGTTTATTTTGTTTGTTATTTTTATTTTGTTGCTGATTTTGCGCAAGGGTGACAATAAAACGAAATGTATCAGAAAAGGAAGACAGAGTGCCGTGTTAAAACAAACACATGGGTCGCCACCACTCAGAGAACGAGCGACGCTTCTGTCACAAGTTTGTAATCGACTGGGTAAACAGTGACCACTCGTCTCACTTACGATTTGCGCACGAGTTCTGGACGGGGCTTATGGGTAATGAGGGATCACACGCTAAACTCACCAGCAACTGAAAACTGGTAGCCTACTTATTGGTCAACAGAGGGAGGGGCCTATGCAACATGATCGGTTGGAGGGACTACCTAACAACAACGACAAGTGATTGGATTATGACGGCTCGCCCACAACGCCAGGGGCCAATGCACAATTTATGACAAAACGTAATGGAGTCACTAAGGTGGCCGTCTTAGACAGGTGTTATTGCTTTGTGTGATAGGAGCTGTGTGTTATAAAATGGTGGCCGCGGCCGCGTTGGATAGGTGGCCGTTTTACACAGTTAAATTATATAGAAGAAACGCAAGGGGGGAAATGGAAAGTGGCCGGCTTGTAGAGGTGGCCGTCAGGGCAGGTTCGACTGTATATCCACACAAAATCTATTTTCCCAAGTACTCTTGACAAAATAGACTTAAATAATGACGACATACTGTTGAACACAAGCATGTAGCCTTCAAATTGAGAATAAAATATTGCATGGGTACATCTGCAATCTTATACATCGAAAGAGTGAAAAGCATAACCCCATACTTTATCTGCCATGGTTTCATGCACCAAAGAATTCACGAGTAAATAGGAAATTGCAAAATCTAAAATATCCACAGCTGTTCTTATCATCCTAATAAACAACCAAATCAACATCAACATCATAAGACTAAAATTATCTAAATAAAAGACTTACTGTATTGTTTACGTGGCTTTTTCTTCAAGCACGTCATAACATATTCTTCTAATTCTCTGAGTGTTGAAGGTTTCAGAGTTTCAAAGTCGATCTCAATCTCATCAGGATTTGAATCTCTCAAGGACGGCTCTCTGGATTGGATAATATGCACAACTCTTCCAAGTTTATCTCCTGAAATAACCAAAAGTAATGATCAGTGTCATTGAGACCAGGGAGGGAGAGGGAGGAAATGCTAGTTCGAATAATCAAAAGGACAATTTCTAGTCCAGGCTTATGCAAATGGAAAATTAGTCCACATCAGTTCAGTGCAGGAAGTTATGCATGCATGACCTGAGGAGGAATTCAATTTAGAAATCACAAGTTAAAACTTTTCCACAGTATTTTCTTTTTTCTTTTTTTTTTTGTAAACTATTCCCTTGTTCCTCAAAACAAAAACAGGGATTGCTAAAACTAATTTCTACTTCATGGACAATGTTAACTTGCAAAATCAGAGGCTCAGCAATTGGCTTTCCCCCCTCCAATTTCAGAGAAGAGAGGGCACCCAAGTGACCCACCCCACCCATCGCTGATACAGTGACCAGACCTCGCCACACAACACATAAATTAGGCCTACTGGAATGAGTGAAAAAAATCACACCACCCTGCTCAGTGCTCTGCACTCTATCACATGGCTATATTTCACTGCTCACATTTTCCTCGAATTACCACATCCGCAAATAAATTGATTTCGTCCCGGTAAATTCCATTTATCCATGCACGACTGTATTAAGATTTAGATTGAAAGAACATAGATCAAAGTGGTTTACTGATATGGAAGTCGGTCCATCTATCGATCAAGAATAGCTGTTGTCTGTCTATAGTGAGATTCACATGGTCGCAAACCATTGATTTTAGGGATCAGGTTGGCTAGGAAGCACGAATTTTACCCATTTTTGGAGAAATGAGCTTATTTTTTGGCCATTTTTCTGCTTCAATCAAAAGAACTGAAAAATGCCTGTGGATGGCCCTGCATTTCTGGTTCTCCTGAGCAGCCATTTCCTGCTCTAGTTTGTGTAAAACAGCTCTGCTTACTTTCTCCATGGATAGAATGAATTGGGGCATCCTAGTAAAAATGATCGCCAAAAACCAAGGTTCACGATCTAGATCTACCTGTCAGACAGTGTCTCTCTGTCTATCCATCTATTTATCTATTCAGCTAGATCTACATTAGAGGTAGCATTAAAAAAACCATCAAATCAGCAACAGCATTTTCATGCCCATTTTCACTCAAGTTCTAATCTAACTTCTAGCAGTCTGTGCTAAAGGGAAATAACTGTTAATTTTAGTTTTTTAGACCAAAAAAATATGGTCCAATTTAAGTGTTAATTTTAGGCCAAAAAAATATGGTTTATAATTCCTCCCCCGAGCTGACGTCATTTGTGAGCGGGCCCTCAAATGCGTTGTGGTCCGAGATATGTGTCATTGTGGTTAATAAGGAGTCATCTAGGCAGCAGAGTCTAGCTTCCCCAGAACAGTTAACTTTCACTTCTCGTGTATGGTTTCCCACTAAACATCGGTGAACTCACTGTACTAACACGTTTATTTTATGTTTTCTTGACCCTACCTTATAGCTCACAAATGGCCCTCCCCATTACATTTACCCATTTAGGACTAGCGAAGCTGCATTCATTGAACGATTTTAGATCGCCATGAATTAGCACAACTTGTAAACAAACCATTGCACATTATAATATATCAAAATCCTTATTAAAACATCAGCCATTTGACCTCACTGTACATTAATACCCTTGATCATACATGAGTGCGCACCCAATGAATACACCCTTCCTCCTCCTATTAAAAAAGGAGGCTAAACTGGGCTCTGATATCCACCTTAATGAAAAATGAAAAATATAGAAATATGTATTGTGCAATAAAGCAGAAAAATAAATGATTCATTGCTTGTTGAACTTGATACACGTCTCATTGCAAGGTGGATTCAGGCGCTCGTCAAAAGAATGAAATGGAACAAACTGACATTTCCCCCCCGTCTGTTGGGCAATTTTGAAACAAATTTCTTGCTTTTTTTTTTCTCAACATCTTTATGTCCATTGAACAGAACACTTTTCTGAATAGTTTTTCCAAAATCTGTTGATGAAATAAACAAGGCACAAAAATGTAAATTTGCAATTTCCATGAACACTCAAGACGGCCATTTTCTCACTAATTTTACCTCTGGCACCTGGCAAACCCCATCTCCTTCAACTTCATCAAAAACATCTCCTTCTATTCCAGATAGATGGGTTTGGGTTTTTTTTCACCAAAAGCAAGACAAATGAACAAGCTTTAAGACATGATGCCAATGACTCCATTAAGTTTCATTAAGAGGTATACGGCACTTGCAACAATATAAGGTCATACAAGTGGCGAAGATTAGAGGTGTTACAACAGAGTAACAAACACAAAAAAGGAGGAGGGGAAATAAAGATGATAGATGTTTGACAGGAAATAAGAAGCAAACCACACCAGAGCACCCGCCAACCAACCACCCAATGACTCCATAAGCCCAAAAATTGTAGAAACTGGCATGAATTTAAGTGCAAATCACTCAGGCTTCCTAAATCAAATTATATGCATATTCTCAATATGCAAATTTTGACCCATATTTGATGCATGTGGGGTTTTCTAGTACTGCTACATATTCAGTAGCCCATCTTGATCAAGATTTGTTGCAAGTCAGAAAATGTAATTCCACATTATACATTATAATAAAGCAAATCCAAAAACCACACACATAAAGATGGCTCTTTTTACCAAAACTAAACATCCCCCCACATTATTAATCCTGTTGAAACCAAGGTAGAAGAAAAAAGGGTGATGTACCTGTAGACACGAGTTTGTGTAGGTTACATTATGTTCAGTGCATGTCTTTACCGAGCATTCCACCAATAGGAGAGCAAAAAAGACAAACAATGAGGTATGCCTGATTCTCCACACAAGACAAACCCTGCTGATAGAAAATAAAATGTTGGAAAGAGGCGCTTGAAGGAAAGACGTGGGGCATGAAAGCCAGGAGAAGACGGTAACAGGGATGGACAACATTAAGATATGGACTGGCCTGGTTGGAGAAGATTGTGCAACGGCAGCTCGCCACCGGGAAGGATGGAGGGCTGTTACAAGTCAATCTCTGAATCAGAGATGACACCTCCAGGTATCCAGGTACACACATGAACAAGTTCATCGGGGAGCAAATCAAATTACAAATAGAGCATTACGAAACAAATGAGAAAGAAGGAGCCTCTAAACAGTGGTTAGGTTCTTGAAAATAAAAACTGACAGAATCCAGAGTAATAAAAAAAACCCAAAAACCCACCCCCACTGCCATACATACATTTCTATAACTTCAAAGACATTTATTTTCATTTCCTAAGTCACAAGTGTTTCCAGTATCTCCCCCCCCCCCCTCCTCCCGTGATTTGCCCTCCCTCCCACCTACTGCTGTGCATTGGCTTGTCTTTTCAGCCATGTTCCACAAACCAACCACAACACCACCACTGCACACCCCACCCCAAGGAACAGGAAACAAAATATTTCTTTTAAATTAGTCTGTACTTTCACTTTTACATCACACCTACTGGATTCCACATTTTCTCAAGTTTTTATTCTTTCAGCTGTATCCGTGGCTTCACACAATATTTTCCCCAAAGATTTCTCAGATTGTAAATCTTGAGTCTGTGCTGAGTAAAACGAAGGGGTACCACAGGAACCAGACACCAGTCAGGAAAGAAAAGAGAAATTTCTGTGAGCAGTGCTACAACAGATGATCTGTAAGAAAAATACAAGGCAGAAGCCTACTCTAAATCGATTTTAGCCCACCAAGGGATCTTTAACGTGCGCAATTTGCACATGGGACCTCCAAGATTTTTCGCCCTGGTCCGAGACGGCTAGATACAGATCTTTCCTACCAGAAGATCAGGGGATGGCAGAAAAACAGCAGTAAGAAGGAGCCAAGGAGTAGCAGTAAAAAGGCTGAAAAAAGGAGTCATGAGCCCAGAGGAGGGGGGAGTGCAGCAGCAATCTTTGCCTGCATGGCAACCTGATGCATTTAGAAAAGTCTCCATCATTTTCCCTCTATTTCTTTGCTTGGAAAAAATTTTAAAACAAAAAACTGTCCAAAACTCCTTTATCCTAATCCAATAAGAAGAGCAATGTACGTGACTTGTACATACACCTAGCACTTAAACACTGTATAGATCAATAATTATGCTATCACATAGGTCCGTCCAACACGATCAGCCCCATGCAACAAAGCAATGCATGGGCAGTCTTTTTAGGTAAACCGCAACAGATAACCTCTTTAATCACAATGAACCTAACACACCACCCACCACAGAATTTAGAAAGCACGAGGAATAACTTTAAACAGCATCATACTTTCTCCACTACGTCTACACTAACCCTGACCTGAACTGTTTTCAACACTCCCAAAAAGAATTCCACAAACGTCAGAAAAAAAGGTCAATTCCTAACCCAACAAAGCAGAATACTTTGAGGTATTGAATAAGCAAGCTGCCCTCCAGTTTCAAGGGTTTTTTTGCACACCCCCTGCTCCTTATTCCATACCCCCCCGTTTATTATTTTCCAGCTTGCCATGACCAACGATCATGAAACATTACATCTAGAATCTGAACATCTAGATCTAGATCAAGGTTTTTGTCTCATAGTCCTGAAGCCGCCTGAATCTATCGATAACCTACTTTATCACGATGCCCGACCGCTTACTAGATTTTGATACTACTAGCAGATCTCAGCCTACTCTCGGCGTGGCCCGCTCTGCAGTGGCTGCGGGGTTTCCGCGAGCTGGCTTAACTACACAGTTGCGAAAGGAATTGCAGAAAGTGTTGGTTTCCAAGACAAATATTCAAAATCTTATCAATTTTATAGATCTAATCAATGTCCTAATTGCATCTAAATATGAAAATGGTGCTAGATGAAGCCATACATCAATTAATAATAACAGATCTAGAGATAAGACTCACGGGTCAAAACACAAAATTAGTTTTTTTTTAAATTGTTTTCAGGAACCTTGGGAATTTGAGGTATCCTTCCGATTTTTGTGAAGGAACTGCCTACGTCATTGGAGCAATCCTAGCCTACTATTATTATTTACTATTTCTTTACATTCCGTCAGCTTTAAATTTCTTGGAATTATGGCTCAACAGCGCAACACAATACCCTGCCGTGACTTTCGTTCCTAAATGGGTAAAGCTGTCACAACTTGCCAAAATCACTGAACTTGAATTATCTCTTCTTTTATTCAATAAAGGAGAAATAAAACAGATTTGTTCCTACAAATACAGGGGTATGATGTTGAATGTGACAACCCCCCCC